CTGACAAAAGTAAACATTATTATTTTAGTGAGCAGTCAGCTAAAAATCAAGCTCATTTAATGGCACTGCACGAATCACTAGTTTTGCCAAGAGAACCGCTTTCATGGCACAACAGAGATGCCTATTTGGAACTTGAGTACTCACGACTGATTTGGAAAAAAAAAACAAAACAAAACTGAAAGCATGCAGTAGTGAGTGTGCACGCTTGTTTGCCAGGTGGATGGGCTGCACTGTTTGTGTAGGCAGCCGGACTGTTCTGCCACGCAGCGGTGCTCGTACACGATTTGATACACTCCCAGTTTTGGGGTTTCTACACAAAAGCTGCAAGAGCCCACCAAGAATAACAGACATGAAATGTATGTTGGGTTTTACTGGAAAGTTGCGGCATCGCACGGCTCATCTGTTGAATATTTCTCACAGAAGCCAAAACGAGAGACCTCCACGAATCCCACTTTTGCGCAGAATGCTTGCAGTCGGTTTAAAGCAGGATTTCTCCAAGTACCTTTTTCTCTTGACCCAAATTGTGATTTTGGAATCTCCCCTGGACCCAAACAATACATGTACACACATATGGACAGACAGACATAGACATAGATGTGGATTTAGATATGAATAGATGGATAGATCCGAGGCTGGGTACAGAGCATCTCGTGAGAAAAGACCATTTTGTGGAGCCCTCTGCACCAGGACCAAATCGCAGGCCACCGCCGCAGACCGCCAGCAATGACGGCTGTCCAGCAGGTGCCTGCATGCATGGCGACTGCGTGGCCGCATGGTCCACCACAGTCCCTGGAGCGGAGGGCTCCCTCTGAGGAAACGTGAGAAAACAGCAAACCATTGCGAAAAAACACGCAATAAAAACGTAAACTTTTTGAACATAAAGCACCTCTCACTCTGTAGACTGAAATAATCATTTAAAAAAAAAAAAAAAAAATGATGCATGAGAGCCATGTGCAATCATTGGCGATAAGACTGAAAATACTAAAAATGAAAGAAAGTAAATACCCAAATAGTAGTCAAACAAACTAAGCTAAAGTAGCGTCCAAAATTCAAGTTTGGTTTTCCGAGTGCACGACTCATACGAGCACGACTGCTAACTGCTAAAGTGAACACAGTTGTCGTGGTCTTTTGAGTAGGGGCCAACAATATACTGCACCACAAAAGTAGATCTTTGGGGGTCACCATGGAAACAGCTTTGACTTTCCTTTTTGAAAGTGAGGTCCAAATATTTGGAGACTAATAAGAAACAACGACATTGTCTATGTTTACAATTGCTTCCCGAATGGGATAATATCACAAGCCCACAGTCAATAAAACCAGATCGTCGAGAATGGAGTTAAGTTACAAGGTAAGTTGCTTTTCAAGACAGTACGTACCGTAGGTTCCACCAATTTCAGGAATGTTGGACCACACAAACCCCCCCAAAAAGGAATAGGATACTTATGTGTTTTTTGAAAGAAAACGGACCACAAGAACCACACTCAGACATACAACGGCGTGTGTGTGTGTGTGTGTGTGTGTGTGTGTGTGTGTGTGTGTGTGTGTGTGTGTGTGCGTGCGCGCGCGTGCGTGCGCGTGCGTGTGCGTGTGTGCGTGCGTGCGTGCGTGTGAGAGATGCACTTCCTGTCATGTTCGCTGGGTGGCAGCAAACGCTTTGACTAAGATTTCCTCTGTGTCTCCTGCAGCACTTGCAAAGAAAACAAAGGGATCGTGTGTGTGTGTGTGTGTGTGTGTGTGTGTGTGTGTGTGTGTGTGTGTGAGAGGCAGTGTGAGCCGTGCCGTTGACAGAGTTCCTGTTTACGCAGACTTTCATAGGGTTGCGTAAAGTGACCACAGCTTTAATTGTAGCAAGATGTGCTCAGCTTGAGTAATACTTTTATAGCCCCATCCACCCAACACGCACGCACGCACGCAAATCTGCGAGACTCTCACTGATGACGGGATCCCATAATTACACACTTGAAACAAACGCCATTTCCCATCACGCGTGCATTAGACGGGCTTCCCGCAAATTCTATTTTAAGCTCAAGGTCACCGGTCTGCTCCGTATATGCTTCAGTAGACGACGTCTGGCCTCGAAGGACTTCTCCTTTGAGAGAACAACATTGCCGAGATGTTCTGTCCGCGCTCGGCTCGGTCTGAAATGAAAGTATGCCGCTGTCGTCGGGCATCCAGAGAAATCAGCCAGATATTGGAAGGGATGAAGAGAAGCGGATTCCAGAGAGCTTTGTTTTCAAACTTGCGGTGGTAGGACATATTTTTCAAGTTCCACCTCTCACGCGGCTATTCCAGGAAAAAAAGACGCTGCTCGCCAGCCTCTGCTGCGGCTTCGTTTTGTGTGTTTTCTAGTCGAGGCGTCTGCCTGTTTGCTCGTATCAGATGTTTGCTTGGTGGTCTCCTCGCGTAGGCGGCAAAGTCGGCCGGGGGAGTGGAAAGCAGAGGCCTTAAAGTGAGAAAAAGATTCCCAGATAGAAACACGCTTTTTTTTGTTTATTGGGCCTGCTCGGATGCAGCTGCCGGTGTGTAAAAACACGCCTTGTAGTCAAGTCGAAGCAAATGAAAGAAGACTACAATCCAACAATCAACACGTTCTTCAATGAGTGACTTTTGGACTGTCAATCAAAACCGAGCATCATATTCTTCGTGCGCTCACGGCTCTCTTGTCTCTACTAGGTCAAGTGTCGGGGAATCACAACACCACCTTCATCTCCAGCGGTCAGGTGGTGAACTTCAGCGGCGACGTCATCGTCGTCTACGTCGGTCCCGCGTCTCTCGGAAGTGACGGCGCGCCACTGGAAAGCGACTTTGCGAGTCCTGTGCAAGAAGAGGCCAATGAGACGGCGCCGTTTTTCCAGAGTAGCGTGAGGTCAGCGGGGAACTCGATTATCCAAAAGCCATTGCGGGATGACCCGGCGCGCGCCCCGAAAACGAGCGCCTAAGTGTCGAGATGGCAACCAAAGCAGTCGCGCAATGACGCCGTCCAAGCGTCTCGCCATTCCAACCGTTTTAACAGCCCAGCCCATCCAAAGCTTTCCGAAAGCGCTTGTCCTCTCAGGGTCAGGGGTGACCTGGAGCCTATCCCACCCTGTTCTGGTCGCGAGTTCATTGCATGATTGTGCTAACTACAGTTTAGACTGGCAGGCTCTCAGTAAGCACGTTTCAATTGTACCATTTAGAAGGGATCATTTGACACTTTGGAAATGCTCCAAACGCTCGAAGACAAACGTGATAAAATCGTACCATGAAAGTAAATGTTTTGATGGTGGGGGAATTTAATCTGCTTGCTCCATGAGAAGGAAGATGTCCAAACTTGTCGAAGAAAAGCATTAACTCGCGTTTCTCAGAGAAACTTTCTTCCATTGAAAGTTTTTTTTTTTTTTAAATATCGATATAATAATAATAAACCGACACATCCAGTTTTGGTATGAATCTTGTTTTTGTTTTTTTTCTGTATGATTTGTTTTTATACTGCACCATTTGTGCGGTTTCTCTTGGGAAAATCTCTGTATGATTTGTTTTCATACTGCACCATTTGTGCGGTTTCTCTTGGGAAAATGCTGTGCATTTGATAAGCTATTTTTATTTTGAGTATGTTTTAACATGCAGGCTTTATTGAAGAAAAGGAATCTGTGTTTTTTGTAATTTGTTTGAAACAAATTTGCAAAGTGGCATTGTTTTTTTTGGATTAATTCATCCTTTTTATGGGGGGGGACAAAAAGCAAACTGTCTATGTGGAGAATGAACATTCCAGCCATTTCTGTTAGCAACCGGGACAATGGAAGTAATTGCAATGGGTGACAAAATGAATTATTTTGAGTGAAATTAAAGTGTCTTGCATCTCATCCCTTCAAAAGATGGCCGGCGCCCCTCCTGTGTTTTGCGGCCTCTCTCTCTCTGTGAGCTTTGCTATTCTGGGATGGGAAAATGACAAGCAAAGAGCCATGCATTTATGCTGTCGATTCTTTTTGAGGCGCAGTTAATTACACGTGGGGCCTCGGTGCTTCTTGCGCTCGCTGTCAGCAGACAGGCATGCTTTCATCAGGCATAGGAGGATTTCCAGCAGCTGCAAGGACTTGGTGAGCCACCACCATCTTGCTGGCCACCCTCCCGTTGGGCACCACGTGAGAGAAGAGCTGGGCTGTACAACCTTTTTTTTTTTTTTCTTTTTCAATGACCAGAAATGAGCACCTTGTCTCCTGTGATTTCAAGGCTTTCAAACAGGAAGTGGCGCGCAGCCTTCACATCGAAGCTCCCCTGCTGTGACACTGGTGCGGAACGCATGCGCTTCCTTTATCATGCTGCGCCCACTCGATATTCACACAATGACTAATGAGGCCATTGATCCTCATCGAAAAGTGCTTCACTTGACAGGATTAAGTGAACTGTCCGATTGACCTTCCTGTAGTGGAAAGCACCTAAAAATCCACATTGGTGTGGGACTGAAATTACAGCTGTGTCACCTGTGGGTGTGAGGGGTTCAATTTCCCTGTTCGCCTTTGACGTGATGGCGTCGAGCAGAGTTTCGCATAAAGGAGGACGTCGGAGGTTTTGGTGCGATCCCATTGATCAGACAACGGAAAGCAAAGGGAACTTGAATTTACTCCATTTTATTGCGTCAAGTGGTTGCATGGAGTAAATAAGATAAGACAACCTTTATTTGTCTCACAAAGGAGAAATTGTTTAAAAAAAAAAAATCAGTTTTCCAACTTGATGTTTTACCCCCCCAAATAATATCTTTCAATTTTTTTTAAAATTTCTTTAAAATCTTCAGACTAACCAGGAACTGATCCCATTTTTCTGACCGTTTCATTGCAGGAATGTCTTATATAACCTGCAGAGACAACATGAACATTAAGTTCCTCAGAGCTACAGATTAATGCGTGCCGGCATTGAATCCCCAACTTCCTGGAACTCGATGGAAGCATTTCAATACAATTTTGACATTTTTTGGGGTCTTTAGCCGAACCCCGTCCAACACCACAAGATCTGTTCTGTTCATCAGCGAGTTTCGTGAACACGCTTTGTGTCTCTGGATTTATTCCATCAGCTTGTCAACTTTTTTTTTTTTTTTTTTTTTGCGATGTAACTATTTGTCAATACGCCTCTCCAACCTGGAATGTATGAATCGTCCTTTTTGTTGAGCTTTTGGTGAAAAAAGAGCATGTGATCCCCCTCGATATCCTGATTCAATTGATTAGTTCCAATCACAAGAGAGAAGCTCTTTGCCTCTCTAAAAGACGGCGGAATCTCATTTCTGCGTCCGCCGTCGTTCTGCGTCTGTGCCTCGTCATTCAGAATAACTTCTTCGCCGCATATCAAGAGCATTAGGATGCAAGCCATAAGGTAAGAAACTTTACAGACTAAACCAAAAGAAGACAATTGTTGTACCTTTGGGGTGGGGGACAATTGCTGCGTTTGCGTACGTGATCATCAACCAGGCATTTCTTGACAAGAAGTTTAAAAGTTAAGTTTATGTCAACATTTTGCAAGGCTGGGATCACGGCGAGGTCGCACATGTTTGATGTTTCCATTTAGCCGCAAACAATGTGCCATTTGTGACTCATCAGGTCTCTGTTAATCCCCAAGTGGTCGTCCGACGTGCGTCTGGACGGAAAGACGGCCATCGTAACCGGTGCCAACACGGGAATAGGCAAAGAGACGGCAAAAGATCTGGCGGCCAGAGGCAAGACAGACAAATGGACGGCGTCTTCTGATTTGCGCTTTTAGGCCTTCCCAATGTAGCTGCCGCAGACTTATCTCGTCTGCCCTTCCTGCGATTTCAATGCGCGCGGGCACCTTGCGCAACCTCCTTATCTTATCCGTTCCAATCCGTTTGCAGGCGCAAGGGTGATTCTGGCCTGCAGGGACATGGCGAAGGGAGAGCAGGCGGCCCGCGACATCATGAGGGAGGTGTCGTGCGCCAAAGTCGTCGCCAGGCACCTGGATCTGGCCGACACCAAATCCATCTGCCAGTTTGCCGAGAACATCTACAACAGTGGGTGGCGCGCGTGCTCGCGCGTTGCCGGAAAGATCCAACGTTTGACAAAAATACATTTGAATTGCAGCCGAGAAGGCTCTGCACTACCTGATCAACAACGCCGGCGTGGCTCTTTGCGCTTTCGCCACCACCGTGGACGGATTTGAGACGCAGTTTGGAGTCAATCACTTGGGTATGAAAACGGTGGTCTCTTTGACGATCATTTCCATCAGAAATCAAAGGCGGCGGGGGGTGTCACGAATGACTTGAGGGTTAATGGTAGGCCGATTGGTTGATTGGTAGGATTGCGCCAAAAGTGATTTCAACTATTCCCTGAATCTTGCCAGCACTGCCGGATTTGTTGGCAAAAGTACTCACACTCTGTACGCAATCTGAATTTGAAGATTAGCATTAATTGTGAATTTAGATTCAAACAAGAGTTCAATTTGACATTGAAGTTCGGGATTAGGATTTAGATTTCGAGGCAACATTTATAAAGGGTCGCTTCAACATTCCAATTTCAATTTAACCTTGAGAGGAAGTCGAGCAAACAGGTAAGATTAGGGTCGTGCTTGATTGATCAGAGCAAATTCCTCACACCGTTTCCTTGATCTGCACCCTTCCAGGTCATTTTTTCCTAACTTTCCTGCTGCTGGACTTGCTCAAGCACTCGGCGCCTTCCCGGGTCATCACCCTTTCCTCCATCGCTCACATCATGGGGAGGATCCAGTTTGACGACCTGGCCGTCGAGAACAACTACCACCCCGCGCGGGCTTATGCCCAGAGCAAGTTGGCTAACGTTCTCTTTACCAGAGAGCTAGCCAAGAGGACTGAGGGTATGATGTGTCGTTTTGATTCTCTCTCTGTGCCTCTTGGCCTTCTTCGCCACCGTGCGGGGGGGGAATGGGTCGGCCCGTTTCCCAACGTGAGAGTCTCATGCTTTCACCGCAAGTGCTTTTGGCGAGGGAATAAGAAGGAATCAAGCACGCTTTGAGGATACAATGTTTGTCTTTAAGAAGCAGCAGTGAGAGGACTGCGTAGCCTTTAGGCTCAGCAAAAAGTTTGTTTGTTTTATGTACTTGATTCGGCAGAGGAGTGCGATTGAGGGAGACATATGGCCCTTTTCCACCGCGCCTGTGTTTCCTCCCACATTCCAAAAACATGCGTGGCAGGTTAATGGAACACTCTACACTGTCCCTAGGTGTGATTGTGAGCGCGAATGGTCGTTTGTCTCTGTGTTAACTTGGGCTCCGCAGATTTCTGACTGTATAGCCACACCAAATGGCCGCCCCCGTCTGTAGTTTGGGCACTCTTGGTCCATATATTGCACGACTGGCATCAAAAAGGTCATAAAATCGTCGGCAACGTTTTACAATCATTTCTGAGCGAAACACACTTGGCTTCCAGCATTAGGGGTGACGGCTTACTCGGTGGACCCCGGCACTGTCAACACTGAGATAACCAGGCACATCGGGTGGCCGATGGCAGAAATCATCCAAATGTTTTCCGGTCTGCTCAAGACTTCGGCAGAGGGGGCCTACACCACTATCTACTGCGTGGTCACTCCTGAGAATGAATTGACGAACGGAGGGCACTACAAGTGAGTTTGCGGGGCCCGCCTGTCTTGCTCCATCTGAATGGATCACATCAATGCCTCGCGTCTCCTTGCAGGGATTGTGCCTATTCCAAGGGCTGCAGGGCCGGGCGCGACGATGGCACGGCTTTAAAACTGTGGGCTGCCAGCTGCCACTTGCTGGGCATCCGTTGGAGATGAACATGAAGAGCGATCTCACGCTGATGCTCGGTGCTCAGAACATGTGTCTGAAAAAAAAGACAAAGGCTGACATTGCAGGTCTCTCAAATGATTAAAAGATACTATTGAGCAAAAGTCTGATGGGTTTTTTTTTTCTGTTAGTTTGGGCATGTATGGCTGACATTTACTTAGCTAACCAATTCTGTGGGTATCCATCTATCTTTCTGTCATGAGCATTGGGAGGCTTTTTGGGTGGGCTGAGGAGGACCCCAAGTGGCCAGAAAGCAGTACTGCAACGGGCAGTCGAACAGTAATACGTGTATTCCCAATGTCATTTGAACGAAAAGGAGCGATTGGAACATGAAATGCCATTTGAATCCACAATCTAAATGCACTCTCCCTTAAATGGCCAGCAGGATGCGAGCGCAAGGTTTGAGGGTGGTGGTCACAGTGGGTGGAGCGTCTGTCTGCTTGACAATTTGGAATTGAGCGAATTGCAGCAATTATGTGCCAGCTCGCTACTTGATTGGCTCAACGCTGATGATGTGAGGTTCGGGTGGGCGGGGCTGTGAGGAGCGACGACTAGGATGTTGATGATGAGGATGATGATGATGATGATGTTGCAAACTGCGCGAAGACCGATTGCTCATTTCTTTCTTGAGTTGCGCCAATCGGTATCTCGTGAGGGGGGGATTCGTAGCTTTGGAGGAATGATGAGCTGCAGGTAGGACATGGCGAGTGCAGAGCGGGGGGGAAACAAAACAATCATAATTTTAAGGTGATTAACGCCGGCTGATCCTGAGTTATGTGTTTCAACGCTTGCGACACTGCTTGCTTTTGCCAAGTGACTCATACGTTACTGTACGTGGGATGCATTGCGCTGCTTTGAGTCGAGTTCCGACCAAGCAAATAAAGTTAGCAGTGGGGGTAACTTAACTAACCAGGTCGCTCCTTTGATTGTCAAATTGTGTATTTGAAACAATGCGTTCTTAAAGCGCATTATAAAATAACTTCCTGATTGAAATCTCCATACTTTGGTTTGTAATGATGCAAATGCACTCAATTGGGGAAACTTTGCTTGTTTGCGGCCCAGAGCTGTGTGTTGTCACCGCTGGTCATCCGAGGAGAGGCTGGACAACAAAACGGTCGTCATCACCGGAGCCAACACTGGCATAGGCAAGGAAACCGCCCGAGACCTGGCCGCCAGAGGTACGACAACCTGGATGAGTGTTACTCTTGCAATGACGAGCTTTCCTCGGGTTTCTTTATGTTTAGGGTTTGGCCTCGCTCGCACATCTGTTCACTCTTGGGGTTCACCTGTGTTGTCTCGTGTCACGTCCAATCGACTCTCTCCGTCCTTTCGTGTCTTGACTTACTCCAACAAATACGACGTTTGCCGCCGGTGTTCATCTCCCCCTTTCCTCGTGCGACTAGCACATTCCAGTCATGAACCAAAAGCTGCAAAATGTAAGCAGACTTAAGTGTGACCCTCATGCTCTGACCTCCACCAAATAATCAAGTTTAATCCTTCCTTCCACTGAAACGGCTTTCATCAACATGTTTGGATTGTTTTCCCTCGCACCGTAAGAGGACGCCAGGTGATGTACTGTCGAACCCAAAACCAGCATGCGATTTAACACTCCACCGGTCAAGTGACGGAAGATAGATGATGCATCAAAATGGGGCACAGAGGGAGCATTGTGAGGTGCTGCTCCCTTCTGGTGCCAGACGGGAAACAAAAGAAAAATGGGAGACTGAACCCAACACGCGCACGCGTGCACGCACATGCAAACACACACACAAACACACACACACACACACACACACACACACACACACACACACACACTGGAGCGAGGTCTCAAAAATGTTGTTGTCACATGTGACCCGATTCAAAAAAATGTTGCATGCAGTGTTTTGCTTACATTTACTTGATAAATGACCAACAACTCAGTATGATGCATGTCAACAGGGTTACACAACACAGTGATGACCAAACTGGTTGAAACTGCAAAGACGGCCTCCCACCCAATGATGATTGTGTTCTCATTCAAATGTTTTGGTTTTTTTTTTTTTGGTGTGTTTGTCCCCTCTTAAAATGCAACGGGAAAATCACACCGACTCATTAGTCTGAATATTGAGCCTTTGGTGCATTTAGCACATTGACAACAGCTTGTTGTCTGCTTTATTTTAATGAAGTGAACTTGGCCTTTGAGGCAATGTGGGAGTAACCGAGTTTTCCCACATGGGACCGGCAGGAGAAAAACAAAGACAGCCACTGAGTAATCACTCTTCTCTTCCATAACTGATGGGCTGCGTGTGTGTGTGTGTGTGTGTGTGTGTGTGTGTGTGTGTGTGTGTGTGGGTGTGGGTGCGCGTGTGCACGTGTGGTTTAGTGTCGTGTAGTGCTGTATGTATGTTCATGAATGAGAAGGTACCATCATTTGTGTCCCACAAGAATGTCAATGAAGTGGGTTTTGTTGTCCATGATGAGTCTCTACTGTACTTCAACACAAGTTCATTTAATGATACGATCACTTTTTGCACTGTCAGTTAAAACGTGTACATTCTTAACTTGCGTACACGTGACAACAACGAAAACAAAAGTGTGGGAGATTCACGATGTGTTCTATGACGAGCATTGCATTTTCTTTTCTCTTTTTAGGTGCCCGCATCATCATGGCATGCCGGGACCTGGAAAGAGCAGAGGAGGCGAGATCGGAGATTGTGGAAGACACCGCGAATGACAATGTGGTTGTCAGGAAACTGGATCTTTCGGACAGCAGGTCCATTCGAGCCTTTGCTGAGCTCATCCTCAAAGGTCGGCTGTGTTGGCTTTCTGGGACGTCATATAATGAACGCAAAAATCTCCACGTGACATTTCTGCTTTTGCTCCCATTTTGCATGAGAACGGAACTGTCAAATAATGTGGTGGTGGCTCCCTTCATTCTTTCCTTTCTTCCTTCCTTCTTTCTTTAATAAGATTACATAAAGTCCATAAAGGTCCTACTTTTGGCCACACGGAATAGACATTGCAAAACAATGACTTTGTACTATCATGATGATGCAAGAGGGAGTTATTTTTTGGTTTTTTTGGGCGTCACCAGTGTCACTGCCAGAGTATTTGACAAACGTTCTTCATCAACCTGTGCTTGGGTGTTTATTTTTAGAGGAGAAACAAGTCAACATTTTGATCAACAACGCAGGCATCATGATGTGTCCGTACTCCAAGACCGCTGACGGCTTTGAAATGCAATTTGGAGTCAATCATTTGGGTGAGTCTGCAAATTTGTCACCAAGTCGATAACACAGAACATGCAGGAAAACAGCGGCAGTCATAGTTTGTCTCATTTTCAACATTGAAGGTTATTGCCCGATCATATGAAAGCAATTGAAGTCAATGAATTGTTAACCCAAATACATAATGGGCTCATGACCAGGACAGCCATTGTTGTTTTTGTGCGCATAAACTCGCCAAAAATGATGTCATGTATCCTTGACAACCCACCAACATGTCACCGTGTTGGGTTGGTATTTTTAACCCAAGCTGATGGAAGCGAGAACGCGCTGTGCTCCGCAAGGCAGCCCACACACGTATGCATATGCAAAGACACTCTCACGCACACACACGTGCACACACATCTCCATCCATTTTCTATCGTGGCTTCGGAAGGGTTCCTGGCGCCCGGGGACCGAAAAGCGTTTTATTTAGCAACTCAAAAGATTTTACGACTGCTTTGAATCTCATATAACTGATGAGAATTGCCCGCCTCAAACGTGATTTTGCCCTCCCACGTCTATTTTAGTGAGAGCAACATTTGCATTCGACATAAGTGTAGATGGGTTAGGCTTTTTCAGGCAAGAGTCAGTTCTGTGATGCATTCTCAATGAGGAAAAATGTTTGATATTTCCAACCTGAAATAACAGGTCACTTCCTCCTGACCTACCTGCTGCTGGACCTGATTAAGTTTTCCGCTCCGGCTCGCATCGTTGTGGTGGCATCGGTGGCTCACACCTGGACCGGCCTTCGACTGGATGACCTGAACAGCGAGAGCAGCTACGACACCGTGAAGGCTTACGGGCAGAGCAAACTGGCTAATGTCCTCTTTGCACGGGCCCTCGCCAAAAAGTTGAAAGGTGAGCGTGTGGAAATACTCTCCTAAGGACGCGCTCAGCTCAGGAAAGGCCCATTGTTTGCGTTGACGACATCGAATGGGAACACCACAAAAAGGTGCACTATAACCATTGGTGAATACTGTAATGTCCATTTTTGCTGATAGGATTTGCACAGAAGAAAGTGCATTTATCGATACCGCTGTTCTTTCCGATGCTTTTTGCAGGAACAGGGGTAAGCGTGTTCTCTCTACACCCCGGCGTGGTGCAGTCGGACCTGTGGAGGCACCAGCACCAATGTATCCAGGTGGCCGTGAAGATCTTCAGCATCTTCACAAAGACAACGGTGGAAGGCGCTCAGACCACCCTCTACTGCGCCGTGCAGCCTGGTCTGGAAAGTCAGAGCGGAGGCTACTTCAGGTACGTTTTACAAAGGCCACAGTGTTATGATCAAACGATCACTCTTTAGCTATCTCCCAGTGTACCGGATATGTTTTAATCCCATTTCTTTATGTGGTCTCAGTGACTGTGCCTCTGCAAGGTGCTCCAGAAGTGCCTCGGATGATGATTTGGCGCGGGAGCTGTGGCAGAGCAGCTGCAACATGCTTGGCATCACCTGGCAGTGAATAATGAATAATCCAAGGAAGGACTTTGTATCATGTTAAGTGCAAAAAGGCATCATTCTTAAAGCACTTTTGTTAGGGGCATTAACATTGCTGGACAGTTGTGTCTTCACCAATTCATTTTATAAAACATCACAAGTAGTCTAAATTTGGTGGATATTTCTTTTTCAAATATAAATGATTAGAACGCAACGCATGCACTTAACCTCAACGTGTCACTGTTGAGTATTTGTAGGGGTGAACAATGGCTGGAGAAGGAAAAACTAAGTTCTAATCTCAATCACATGAGACACCATTAACACCCTTGGAATGTGGTATTGGCCAACGGACTTGCTACGGGGCAGGAATTATTTAAAATGAACCACATTTGGATGACAGTTACAGCACAAGATAAATTAAAAAAAAACAATAAAATGATGTAAGATTGAAAGGAGTTAAAAAGGAGAGACAGAATCCATGTATCCATCCGTTTTCTAAAATGGTTTGTCCTTCACCCGTCTTTCGAAAGGCACACTTTGACAAATAACCATTCACATTCCCAATTAAACCTATGGGAAAATAAAATACAACTCGGTCACAAACTGATGTTCAAAAGAACTGACTGAAAAGAAGAACAATGCACGCATCAACACGAATTTGCGTGTGATGAATCCCTCCCAGCCGCTAGGTGGCAGAGAAAACAGCAATTCACACTAAAGCGACAAACGAGAAAGAATTGTTGCGCATGCGCGTGCAAAGTATACGTCAGCTCTTCGAACCCATCCACAGAGCGACGTGGCTTCATTTCTCTCAGCTCTTCTCATCAAACACGGCGTTGGACAAGGTAAGGATTGTACCACTCCAATCTTGTAGATTGATGATCAGGTGCAATCAACAACATGTACTTTACTTTAGCTTGTGCTTATCTTATTTATACCTTACGTCGACGTTGTATCTTATATTCACTGTGCCATACAAGCAAATACATGTTCATTCGCCAAACTCCACATCTTTTCCGTCACAAAGTTTCCAAATTACTTGAAGACAGCATATTATTGGAGGTGATGGTTGAAACTGTATCAACAAATTAGGCTAAAGTCGACGTCAGCGTTTGGTGGCGTTGAGTTAGCTTGTAGCTAACATAGCGTTTCTTGTGACGCTTTCTTGTGTTCAGCAAACATGGATCAAGTCATGCAGTTTGTGGAGCCCAGTCGGCAATTCGTTAAGGACTCCATACGGCTGGTAAAGAGATGCACAAAACCCGACAGAAAAGGTGTGTACAGTCTTTGGATCGTCGCTCACTGTTTTGTGGTCAGGCGGGTACCAATTGTGAATATTCCTGCTCGTCTTGACAGAATTCCAGAAAATTGCAATGGCCACGGCGATTGGCTTCGCCATTATGGGCTTCATTGGGTTCTTCGTTAAATTGATCCACATCCCCATCAACAACATCATTGTGTAAGTCTTACACGTTTTTGTCTCGCTTAGTTGATTCCCCTCAATTGGAATGTTAAAGTCACAACTGCTTTGCCCCTACTGCACAAAGGAGAAAAAAATCACTATATCTCTGGAATAGATGTAATATTTGTAGTTAATAAATAATTTTGGACCATGGAACCAAATTTGGGTAGTTTATTCAGGACAGTGGTGGGAAATCATTGCACTACACAGAGTTGTCATCACCAGCTATCAAAATGTATCCCACATTAAATTGGTTCTTATTCATCTGCAATCGGTTAACTAAATTTGTTATATGGCATGAAAGCCGGTATAACCTGAATTTGCCACAGTTACAACCAAAACAAAATCATGCTATAGCTTTCACATCCAATTTGTATGCGCAAAGCATAATCACATTGTTCTCATTTTGTCTTGCAGTGGTGGTTAAAAGCCCTGAACATCTGAGACCAGAACACTGCTGTGTACAGTTGTGATGTGATGGGGGGTGAAGGATGACATTTTTACATTCTGTTGACATTTCTTTCACTTTGTAAATAAAACAAAAGGCGATGAACAATAGTGACTTTTTTTTCTCACTAGCACAGCTAACCACTTGAAAAAATGATTGAAGAGTAGAACTAAAGACCTCATCTCCTCATCCATCCATCCATCCATTTTCTGATCAGCTTATCCTCACAAGGGTCGCACTGGAGTCTAACCCACGCAGGTATGGGGAGAACATGCAACGTCCACACAGGAAGGCCGATGCACTAACCCAGTCGACCGCCGGGGCGCCTCATCACATTCAGCCATTCGTTTCAAAAGCCAGTCTTACTTTCTGGAGCAAGATCCCTAGTTTACAGCGAATTTGGCATAAAAATGAACATTTTTGATGTTTGTTTGCCATCATTTCAGTCCTGTGATTGGATGGTGGGCAGTGCAGGGTGAGCCCCGCCTCCTACGTCAGCTGGGACAGGCTTCAGTTCAGTTGCAGCCCTTAGGAGGTCAAGTGGTATTTAAAAAGAAAAAGGTGGGCGAATGGGTCATTGCAATCCTTTCAGGATGCCCATGCTCCAAAGCAGAGGCTGGTCTGTGGTGACGGTTATGCGCTTCCTGGGTTGTCCGGGGGATACCGACTCATAGGTGTTGGATGTGCTCACCAGCTTCCCGAACTGCAGAACCTGGTTGTCTGGACGACAGACACAGGAACAGATCAGGAACAAATTCATTCAACTTCAAGTCAGACTAACATCTTTTTTTTTTTTTTTTTTGCAAAACAGATTCATTTGTGATCAGACAGCACCCTGTGAATTTGGACACAGCAAAAGTATGATCATGACTGAATGAATATAAGTCAATAGAATAAATAAATATCTGATTGTGGTTCTGAATTAATTAGGCACATAAATCTCCAATATTTAGTCCTCATTTTCGAATGAATAGACTTGGACAGCGTGTATGCCCGTAGAAGAAAGTGACAAATCTGTCCAGCAGTGTCCTCTAGCGGTCAAAGTAAAAAATTTCAGAAACGAACCATGAAAAAGCACAGGCGCATAAGCGGAACGCGATTCATCAAAAGCATAGCTTGATAATTAATTGCATTATTTCCCCTTCCGCAAATTGCATTCAAATACACAACGCGTCGGAAAAAGAACACGAGAGAACAAAGTCAAACAAGGAAGACAATCGCTTGTCCACAGGCGTCTGCGCGCCCATCAAACGGGCGTGAAAAAACAGCTTCTTCTGCTTCGAAGGCTTCAAAACAAGCATTGTATTGGAGCAGATTGACACAAAACTCAAAGGAGGGGAGTGGGGAGGAAGAAAAGCTGCTGGGGGAATTACTTGATAATTGAGTGAGCGGGGAGCCCGAACCATGAAGTGTGGGAGGAGAAATATTAGACTGAAGGGGTCCATCTGCTGGGAAAATTGTCCCACACCCTTTTGCACTGGGCCAAAATGATAGCGCCAGTCGTAATATTCAGAATGAACACCAGGGGCAGCAGAGCACCATCGAAGGATGACAGAGGGCTCCCTTTAGTTCTCCAGGTTTTTTTTCAGGCCCTCCCACATAAACGTGCACCGAGTGTGCAAATAACGCCCACCCCCATACACACGCACGCTTCACAGAAACCTGACTTGGAGAACAGGGATTTCAAATTGCTTCATTAGTAATCCCCCCCCCCCCCACCCCCCATCAAAGCTGATACGATCAATAGGCTGCACAAGGGGCTGAGAATAAGCGCCACACCCTCCAGTGATAACAATGGGGATGTTTGCCGCCTGTAATTGCATTTCCGGCGCGCCACTGCTGAAAGGGCCCGGCAGCTGTACAGGGAGGGTGCGTATTTACACAACAAATGACCCCGAGGAGAGCAGCGCCGAGTCACACACGCTCCAAATGGAGTCAGCATGCAGACAGGGAAATCTGACAAGGTCCATTCTGTTCGATATTCTCAGACGGAGCTACGACTGCACAGTACACTCAAATAGGACTTCTCGCTCGGGCCGAACCATTAAAAGGTCAGAGACCAAAGATTGAAAAGTCGACCTGATAGAGACCTTTCGAAGCACTGTACTGACTGCCGGGTATAAGGAACGGCAAAGAATTCCTTTCATAAATACCTTAAAAGGTCTTGCAATAGGGTAACTCCAACCCAATTTGTAGGATCACAAATTGTGATCTGTACAAAGAAAGCCGGTGAGTATCACATGATCAGCGTGACGCCGATCCTTTCTCCCTTTATGGACGGTTATTTATTGCCCATGACATACGCCGACGCTCGCGCTTGCACCGTCAGCACCGTCTGCTTCGCCGGGACAGTCACTTCTATTCAAGGTTTATGATGCTGCCACCGGATTTGTCCAAGCGCGTCAAGCGGGAAAAACAGTTTGCGAGTTAAGTCGACCTTCAAGGAAGGAAACGTTGTCTCTGCTGGTCATTCAGAGGACGGCTGCAATTGTTTGATTGTGTCGATAGGAGCTTGACGGTGGTGGTGATTGTGGCCAATGAGAGAGTGTCCTCGTGTTGGACTTAATGGAGGGGTTTCGATGTGGACAGCGGTGCCAGCGGGAGGACAAGGTCACCGATACAGTAAGAGGCGTTCCGGTTCAAAACGTGTATTTACACGAGTGCAGAACTGTAACGACATGAGACCAAACACACGGAATCCTGAACACAGAGCCTCATCTCAGCGGCAGTGCAATCATTTCAGGCGGGGGAAAAAAACGGTGATTTATTGCTCCAGTTCTACACGCAAAAAGCATAAGCGTGTGTGTGTTCATTACACGCTAAAGCGAAAATCCTGTCTTCATACTTTTCCTTGCTCCTTTTCGTATTTAATAGTTTGGTTCTTTCTATTTTTCATCTGCAATTTGAGGAACTGGCTCATTAAGCGTTTAACTCGATCACGTCTGCTTGGAAACGTGTGCGCTTGCTTTGCTCTTGGACTCTCAAGTTGTCAAACGGCTTCTTTTTGGCTTCCTCTTGGTTGCAAGTGAACCGCACCAAAACGGATCATCTCATGCCGTTCTCATTAAAACGGTCTCCGCTGTACACCGGTGTGCTGACTTTTCATGAACAACCCGCTTGCAATTAACAACAAGGGCTTAGCGATCTCATCTTCCCCAGAAGTTTACTTTTTTTAATTCCGATTGCGTTACCGCACCAGGAGACGATGCTGTCCGAGTCCACCTGCGTTCGCGGAGGCCTTTTATTCAAGTGAAGACTTGCTAGCATGTGGAGGGATGCGTTTCTATCATGAACGCATTTCGAACAGTCGGGACAGTGGCTGGAAAGCACAGTTGAGGTTCACCGAGGGTCATTGGGAGACTCGCTGGCATCCAATGTCATATTCACTTGATTGGGGACGATTGCACCGCCGCTCGGTTGCGGGCTACATCAAGGGCAATGGAATTCACAAGGAGAGGGAAAATGAGGCAGGGAAAGGCTCATTTTGCAAATAAATTGGCAGGGGTCTAAAAGCGCTACTGTAGGCCGAGCCAATTAAACAAGCTGAGAGAGGCCTGGAGAATTTCGTGCGGGTTCATACGGCCGCGCTCTTGACGATTCAAGAGGGCAGCCGACTCAGCCGGAGTTCGCATCATCATTGGCATTAGCGGCCAAGCTTGAGCGACAAAATAATTGAATGAAGTCAGCGTCAGCTATTAAGACCTGCAACGTTAGCATTGAACGTGGGTTGCAACATAAATACATCGATGAGTTTTTATCCGCTGCAACACAGAAAGGACGTTGCCTGAATATGACCGTAGAGAGACAACGGCTGGGCTTCCGTCCACCTTTTGGATTCAAATTGTTACACGCGATGACGAGAGTGCATTTCATTTGAAAGCTCTGCGCACGGCTCCTACATTGTTACCTTTGCCACACGGCAGTCCCTTCATTATTTAGTAGTACATTGCGCTCCCCACCCTCCAGTATCATTACTGCAGTGCAGTCCTTTTATTAGACAGCGCTCTCCACAAAAATCCCTTCGAGCCACGGTCATCGCCAGGCCTCTCGAAATGTCTGCTCTGCTCCTCCTCTCTTCTCACTGCACATCGGGCTTGATTCAACAAGCCGCATCTACATTCTTACTCAACGAGTGAGCCCCCCCC